CAGTAGGTCAGAAAGCGTTCGGTCATGACGTGATTCATTCTGGGTACCTGCTCCTGTGTAAAAGGGCAAGTCCAAGAGTGGATGATGTACTTGAACTTATTATTATTATCTGATGGAGAAACATCTTCCAGGTTTGTCAATAGCATGGTTTTTTTTAAGTATTACTGATAAAAATAAATTAATAACACTGAGCAGTAGATAGTGTTTATGTGGGCTTTGGCATAACTATTTTTGCACTCTGTGCAGTGCCAAGTTAGTTACACCTTTTTCCCCTGACTGGAGCTGACATCACAAACGAGCTAGCACACAAACAAACAACAAGAAGAAAAGCTCCTGCTAGTTAAAAGTTTAAATATTTTCCATCTCTGTGTTTTTAACTAAAGTTTGCCAGGCAAAGAACAAAAGTCAGAAGGAAAAAGTTATTTTTCAGTCTTAAGGTCAAGTTCTAAAAATAAGTGAAAAACACCTCCAGTCTCCAAAGTAATATGTTAAGTGTTTTACAGTTAATTCTTATGTATTTATGGCCATAAGAAAAAAAATCATTCTAGAAGATAACCAGTAAGGATTTAAAAATATTTTCCACCTTCTCTCCCATAGGGGATCAGTAGTATCTATGGCATTCTTGAGTCAGATTTCTCTGCCTTGTTCTTAAAAGCCTCCAGTGATAGAAGCTCCACAACCAGCTCAGGAAACCTTCCAATGCTTTATATTCCCACTGCTAGAAAATGTTTCCAAGGGATGCTCTTTAGGCCCACTGTTTTTCTTACTGTGCACACAGAGCAGATCAGTACCTTCTTTAAAGCATTATATATGAGAAGACATGCATTTCAATTCAGTAGTTTTACACGAGCCTGGTAATGCTCACGCATTAAAGCTAGGTTTCCAGCTTTCATACATCCACTGTAAAAGGTGGAGATAAAAAATGGTCACAGTCATTGCAGACTGTCAACTGTGAGTCTTGAAGTCTGAACTAAATCATAGTCAGTCATAATTTTTATTACATGCCACCACAAATAAAACTGTCAATGTCATGGAAGATGCATTCTCTGTTCTGGTGGACTATGAGACTACAAATGGAGTTGAACCAAGCTGACACATGCACTCAGCGCTCACTTCCATTTCACTCACGTGTAGATCAGTAATAAGCCCAGTGCATTGGAACTTCTCAGCATCTCCTCATTCTGAATGCCATGGATGAACATTTGCAAATTCTAAAGATGGATATTGTGGAAAGGACTGGACAGTGAAGGTCAGGCCCAGCAGTGAGCAGAATCATTAGTCCTGTCCTACCTTTCTGCTGAGTGTTTCCAGCCAAAACAAACTTCTATCTTCAGAAATCTGCAAAACATGATTTTACAGCTTGGTTATGTACACTTATTTCATCTGTTGCTAAAACACAATCTCAACAAACAGGATTCTTAAATGATTTATGTTTAGAACTATTTGTGGCCCCAAGGTAACAAAGTTTAGGTCGGAACTAAGTAATGCAAATAACAACACCAGTGCTTTAGGAAAGGCAGATTCACTATTTGTACATCAAAATGTACAGTGAAGCAAATATTGTAAGAAAACTCCATCAGTCAATACAGAATAACAGCCTCACCTCCTCTCCACATGCTTCATTCAGTGCAAGATGCAATAATCCAGTCAAGGTCGTGCTCTGTGACTGGTTTGAAGAGTTACAGCTTGCTGAAATCTGGTTTATGTCTCTTAACTTCAAATCTCTAAGGGAAGCAAGATACTGAAGTTGACTGAAGACCTTTTTTAAGTACTTTTAATGTTCCTTTCAATTAATCAATGGCAAACTGCAATGACAGAGAACCAAGCCTGCAAAAATATAATAAATGGGCATGGCTCCATGGTGCACTATGTTAACTTTATCATTAATTCTCCTCGTTTTCTACTCTACTAATGGAATTTGAGTAATATCAGTGAAGTCATTGAGATGAACTAAAAACAGTTACGCAATCTACTGTGGCTATAAGCAGAATGACATAACAGTGGCCACAGCTGCAGCATCAAATCAATTAGAACCCTGTGACAGGGAAGTCCCCTGAGAGGAGGTCACTGCATCAGAGTACAGAAAATGAGGCCATCCTTGAAGATTAGAGCTCAGAAGGGTCAGCTTTGCTGCTTATTCCTGCAACACTATTAGGAATTTGCTTTCTTTTACCCTTTCTGCATCTGAAAATCTGACTTTTAATGGGACACCAGTTTTTCCCTGACCAATTTCTTAAGAGTTTTAGAATGTGAGAAAACACCAACAACTTTAAGATAGGGTATAGAAATAGCTGAAAATGGTTTATGAAAAAAAGCTGCAGAGATTACTTCCAACATTTGTGGGACGACTCCCACATAAAAGGCAGATGAGCTGAAAACACATTCCAACTCTTTGTTTTAGCCTTAACTCTTAGCCCTCAGCACCAGTGACAGAACCAGCATGACCTGACTTGGGGTTTTCCACTATTTTTGCTCTTAAACAGCCAACACAACAAATGTTTCGGTCTTCATTGCCACAACATTCTTCTGAGGAAGACTGCTGCGTAACTTACTAGCAGCTCCATCTGAGGACTCATCAGAAATAGGAGACAAGGCCAGTGACAGGACTGGTGAAAAATCTATAAGGTAGGTCTGAGGTCTATGTGAAGAAAGGCTGAAATACAGGATCTTGAATACAGAACCACCCTGAGCATTGTTCTCCATTGAAAATATGGTCCAGAACTTTGTCATCTGTAGACAGACCATAGCACCATCAGATATTCTCCACTCCTGGGTCTCACACTGATAATCCCCTTCCAAAATACGTCAGATGTGGTGTCATCACAGATCTGTCTGAAAAGAACGAAACACCTGGAACTGAAACTCGACAAAACTGAGGGCAGGAGGCCAAGCAAAGTGCTTCCGTAAGCCCACAAATTCCATATCAGCCCTCATTCGGCTTCGTTAAGCCTCTCATTTAAGCCTGCCAGAGACAAACTGACAAATCAGAAGGGCAAAGGACTGAAAAGCAGTGGCACATCCAGACTGAGAAGAGCTGTGTCCCATCTTCCCCTTCTCAAGCAGCTCGCTGTAACGAGGCTTACAGATGGGGGTGTAAATTGCTGCCAGAGCTCCTTCTCCTCACCGCCACCCTGCTCAAAACTATTCCCCAGCACATGTTGTAATCGTGCACCCAGGAGGGTTGTTAAAACCTTACAGGAAACATCTCACATTTTTTCCTTTACTATTCATGCCATTTTCTATTATAGACAATAAAGACTTCTAACACTGGATTAAGCTCATTTGCAACAATGAGCTACTATTGCTCCAAGAGCCAGTGGGAGCTCAGACTCATTGAGGGAACTGGGAATAATTAACTGAATTGTACTGGAAAAAAAAAAAGAAAAGAAAAAGAAGACTGAAGGCTGTTTTGACCAAAGGAGATGCAAACTGATGCGATGGTTAAGCCATCATGTCTTGCTGGAAATTATTGTTGGGAGCATCATTAATGCTTGGAGCATGCAGTTCTTGCAGTAAAACTGTTTTGGCCGTGGTCTCCCTTTTTGGTTTTCGCTACTAAAAGACACCTCCCAGAGTCATAATGACAATAACACAGCTTTCCTGATTGCTTTCACTCGTTGCTCAGTATGCACTCAGTCACTTCCAAAAACTCTCAGGGATGGCAAACCTTAAAAACAAAAGCTCTTGTAAGCAGGCTGGTTTTTCCTTTCCCCTAAATGATGTATATAATCCATCTCCCTGGTCAAATCTTCCTATTGTGTAATCCAGGGGTCTTCAGCAACAGTACAAACAGGAATTGTCTCATTACTGAGGGGACTGGAAGTGCTCAGGGCTCTGAGATCACACATGTAGGTGGGCAGACAGCACGTAGACTTTTTAATAGCCTTGAGACCTGTCCTCAGGAGCAATGACTTGCTTTTGATCACCCTACCAAAGTTTCATAATGTCTGGCATCGACCCCTTTGCAGGCCGAATACTTAACATGAGGGGCCCTGGAACTCCACCTTGATACGATGCTAGAGCTGTCTACACGTGCTTGGTTCAGTAGCTGCACATAAATGCACATACTGTGTATGAATAATGCTATTTCTGTATCATATACACAGACATCACATAGATGGGAATTTGCTGTCCTCAGATCACTGCCTGCTAGCCACAAGCTGGCACACGCCGTTAGCGCTGTGCCATGTAGCTTCAAAAAAAGATCAAGTTTCCATCGTGCCTTTCATCAGGGAAGATCCCAAAGAACTTGACAACTTATTCATACCTCATACCACCAGAACATAGACACCTTTGGGACAGAGAGCACAGCCAAATATATAACAGAGTGCAGAACAGCAGAAAAAAAAAAGAGAAACATTTGGCTTGGGACTCCAGAGAAAACCACGCTTTTCAGAGAGAGAGCCAAGGAATGGTTAGCATCCGTTCACAGGAGACAGAACTGTGCTTTCTGTGGTCTCATCCCAAAGATCCACAGAGAAAATTTCAACTTCACAGTTTATTCTGCCTCAGAAGTATGAGGTGGTAAGTTACCTTTTCCAACACGCTGGACCTTCTAGCTGCAGACCACAAAGCTGTCCTTTCTGTGGACACCTCAGGGGAACATCAAAAACATTTCCATGCCAGAAGTTATATTAAGCAGATCTGTCCAAGCCTTCTGGATACAGGCAGTAAGAAGTTGTAGCTTTTTACTAAGTGTTGATTTAAGATTAATGATAGCTCTCTTGACACTTCCACTTTCACTGTCTGTAACAGGGGCCATTTTTTCTTCTCATTTGCTTATTTTCATATATCCTCTCCATAGCAATTAGCTCTACTGTTTACATTAAAAAAAAACCAACCAAGAACAAACCTCCCTCTACACACACAAATAACACCAAAAACCAGAAGGATGATATCCAGTGTGATTTAACAGCTGGAAATAAGCAGAAGCAGTACCAAGCAATCAGGTCTTTTCAGGACACCAGCAATTAAAAGTCCACTGTTATGGCACCCTGCAAAAAAATAAAAACTGCAATCAGCTCTTGCAAGAAATATGAACTTTTTCAGCTGTGGAAATTAAGTTATATTGTACACAGAGGAAGAGTAGTCACAAAGGATTAACTGAATCACCCTCTCATCTTCACTGACTATAGGGATGCTGAAGGCACCAGGTCAGAAGCCTGAGCACTGCTTCCTCCAAACTCAATTCTTCAAAATACTGGATGGTTCAGAGAAAGGGAAGAAAGAAGTTGATCATAAAATGTAACACTCCTTGTCTCAGGAGGCTACACTTAAGTTCAGTTTTAGTATGAATAGTTTAATACTTGCACACAGAAATCTGACCTTTCCTTACACAAGAGCAGCGTGGAAAAGTAGCCTTTATGAATTACAGGGAAAAGTCTCCAGGTGTAAGTGCTTTCTTCAGTTGTCAAGGAATCAAGATGAATGTCAGAGCCATGAAGGGCACAAAGAATAGGGAGATAAGAAGAACCAGCAGATTGTCAAGGCTGTATCTGCAAGGGCTTCTTTATCCGTGTAGAAAAATGAGAATCTTTAATGTGAAAAAATATACATGGTTATCATTATAGCAGAGCTTTAATTAAAAAAAAAAAAGAAATACAATTCTATGGTGGTGGTAAAGCAGAACATTGTCTTTCAATCTTTTTTGCTTATACCTCACTTCAACTGCTGTAAATAACTGGGTTAGATTTTGAACAAACACAAATGAATTGTCTTCCTGAAAGCTGCCTTTTGTGCCCTCATTGCACCCAAAGCCTTGACCACAAAAGAATCCTCGAGGATAAGCAGAGGCTGACAAACCCAGCGCCTTCTAGACAGAGCCCATCCCATCACAAGGCAGAACATTCTCCACACTGCTGTCCCCACTTCCAGTGCTTGCCTGAGGCATTCCACAGGCTTTCTGTCAAAGATAATTGCAGCTGTCATACGGATGAATAGACAAAGATGCTCACGAGGCCCACGCTCCGGGGGTGGGGGAGGACAGGTATCGTCCTCAGGAGCAGGATCACTTTGTCTCCCTCAAAAGAGAGATCTCATACAACATGAAGGTGGATTTTCAAACACAAAGAATAGCGCAGATCCAGGCAGCTGAGCCCTCATCTGCATTTGGTTAGATAACTGTTAAATACTCAGCTGCTCTCATGCAGAAGTATCTCCCCACTCAGGCCCGAAAGCAGCCAGGTATGACTTAAGAACACGATCCAAACTGCAGCTTTCTCAGTGCTGAAGGGAACTCCTTGTCCAGGCTACCTAGGAAGTTATTAGCAGGTGCAAGTCAAGAGGATCAATTCAAGAAGCCTATTAGCTCAAAGTGAACAGTTTGTGAACATTTATGGTTTCATCACTGTCACTGATTGTGGAGGGAACCGGCTGGTAAACACGCGCCTTCCCTGCTATGCTACAGCATCAGCCCACCTCACCACAGATCTCTTTTCGTGCCCATTTTACTTTCATAAGCTTTGAGACATTACAGATTACTGGCTTTATTTGAAATTTCTGCTCCTTTCTAGATCATTTATAAACTCAGAGGAAAATTCAGCATCATTCAGACTATGGTTTATTTTCTCCCCTAGAGAAATGGAAAAATGGCATTCGTGTACACAGGCTTAAAAAGCAGTGGGAAGCTCTCCAGAAAGATGAAGTCTGGAGAGTAATCCAAACCTCTCGAGTTTTCAAGAAAATATCAGACCAGAAATCTCACAGGAATGAACTGGCTCTGGAGATTTCTGGCAATTCCCTTTGCTGACCCCACCCAAATCTGAAAAACAGCCACAAAAGTAAAATCAATCTTTTTCACAATATTTTTCAGTATCGAGATGTGGGTAAAGATTCACAGTTAAGTCCTTGCTTCATTTAAACTTCCTCCTTCCAAAGACTGCAAGGACACAGATGGCATCTAATTGCCACAGTCACAAGATTTCACTAATTCTAATTCCACATGGAAACCAGAAGTTCGATCCCCTGTATTTTTGCAATGCTTCCCTCAATAAAGGCCAATTGCTTTTGGCCAGCACAGCACTCAGTTTCTCCCATTAACCTTTATTCAAGCCAAAACACTTTGGGTGTAAGCGACTCTGAGTTCCTGAGACAGTGATGGCCAGAGAAATACCTATCATGGAGTGGAATCTGAGAGCTCTCCCTGAAGTCCAGCTGCCTTGTCTCTCCTTGATATTGCTTCAGTCTTTGAATGCTTTCTGCACAAACCATTACACTGTTCAACACTTCTTCCAGGAAAGCACACACAATTCCAGGAACCCCACGCCTCAGGTGAATAAATAGCCATCACAAAAGCAATTCTCCACTGGCAAGGCAAGAGACAACGTTGTAACCGTGGGTTTCTATACACAAATGCTGTAAAGGCTACTGTGAAGGCCAATGTTCCCAAGGAAATCAAATGTCAATGCATGGTTTGGATAGGAGACCTTCTGGAAGGAGAGCAATGAACATGCCTAACCCTGTATACTCAGCAAAATCTGATCTCACTGCCTGAGATCATTTGCTGGCTTCAAGTCACATCTGGGAGTTACTCCTAACACAGCGGGAAGAGAAACTGTTCTAAGAAGATCTGAGTTGCACTTCTAAACCTCGCTATAAAATAAGAACTGTTGCCATTTATTCCTGCAGATGCCCCCTCCCTTTCTGGTTTTTTTTTTCAGATGAGGTTTGTGGTGGCCTCTAGCGGAACACAGAATGAGTGATACAGAGAGGGGAAGAAGGGTGAGGCATGTGGAGCCTCCAAAGCTGATCAGGCCTCCAGCCATTCATAGATGAACTGAGTTAGAGCTACGCAGACATAACACAAAGGGTTAATCTCCATACCTTAGTTTGATCCTTCAATACAGACACTTGTGCTTCCATACTGGGTCATTCCATTACGAAAAAATCTACAATAACACAGTTTTTACAAGGTATTTCTGATGTTTCCTCATATCCATCAAGAATAATGTCCCTTGTTTCATTTCAGCTTTTCTGCCTCCTCAGTAGAGAAGAGGCAGATGCAAGTTAGAACTGGACTTAAGTTCCAAAAGAACAAATAGTTTAAGATCAGTGTGATATCACAGCCATCATTCAGTCTTCCAATGCTCCAGCTAGCCCATGATTTGGTTTCGTACTCAAACACTTACAGACCGATCGTAAACGTCCACAGTTCATGACTAGAATTACAAATGGCTTCCTCCACTCCACCTCCTTCTACATCTTTGCAGTAGAAAATACTGCACTGTTTATTCTGCCACTCCTAGGGTCATCCCAATACGCTCTTTTTGTACTTGACCTTGGCCTTACATGCTTTGGACTTTCCACAACACTTTCATTGTACCGTGCAGCTTCTCCTGCATTTTGGCTAGCGGCCTTGTGTTGCTCTTGATCCAAAGGAGGTCACTGCCCAACGCTTCATATTACTTTTTGTTTAAATGACATCATTACCAAAGTGCTGCTTAGAATTACTGCTTTGCAGATTTTCAGATCCTTTTTGCAATAATTTCTTCCAGTAAAGTCATATAATAACCTGCAGCCAAGAAAGTGGCCTAATATGTTCGCATCTTGTCTGAGATTGGAATGCCACTTACTTGCCAGCAGGCTTCCCAGAGCACCTTTGCTCAATCTTCATACGATAGCTGAAATAAAGGCATAGCATTTCATTTCTCTTAATAACATTTGCTAACAACTGCGTGCAATGTTTCTGTGCTCTGGGTTTCTTCCACATGACATAGGACTCTTGGATTTTCTGGACCAAAACTGAAAAACAATGTGAAAACTTCTGTTTGACCATAAATTAAGTCTGGTAATTCATTTTTAGTAAAAACAGACCCAGTTCACAGTTTCCAGACTCCGTAATGGGTTCAAAGGGTTGCCATGAACCCTGCTCAGGGTCCAGGAATTCAAGCAAATTCCATTTCCATTTTAGCCTCTTCATCATGAATCTCAGATGGCACCACTTGATAACTGCTAGTCTGCATGACACCAGAGGGAGCAGGGGGGAAGGACTCCTCTTTTCATAGCACTTCCAGAACCTTTCCATTCATTCATTGTCACACTGGCTGCCCTTCACGCAGGAGGCAGAGCAGAGCCAAAAGCAAAGGTTAGCCATTTGGAAGCACTGTTGGAAACCTAGCAGAGGGCAGGTTGGATTTGGTCCAGAGAAAGCCCCAAGGTGCTGCCATCAGGGTGTGGATGCTCCCAAGGCATGCTGGTGGGTCTTAAATCAGCCAGCGTGAGGAAGTCCCAGGAACCAGCAGCAGCCTGGGGTGGGAAAATGGCTTTTCCTCTGCCCTGGCTTAGCAGCTGAGGAGCAGGCTATGAAACTGCACCGAAAAAGGCAAAACCAGCATGGGCATGCAAAGGAGCTATAGGAAACACTCCATATCATCAATCTGACACTTGGAAACTCTTTTTTGAGCAAATAGAAGCAAATCCACTTAAGCCCGCTGCATTTAGGAAGCAGATGGCATAATAAATGAAATCATTCACTCTCAGTACTGTTAAAACCTGGGACCCTGCGGCCTCGGGATCTTTTCATGCACTGTTTGACAAAATGCCACCAGCGGCCTGGGTACATTTCCAAGGAACTCATGAGTTCTGGGAAGGCATTACACAGCTACACTGTAACCATTCATGACCTGTGCTCAGTACTGGCTTGGTTCCTCCTCAAATCCACTAGATGCTGCAAGGAAAACATTCTTTCCACTTTAAGCAAGCTTCTCCATCCCAAAACCAGTCTGGTTCAGCACCCAACCTCTTTCTGCCCTGTACTCACCCCAAAACATCAGAAATACAAGATTTTCAATGGAAGGGCTTCCATCACAGGAAAACTACTGCAACACCTAATATATTTGGTCTCCCTCAATTCTAGAATTTTTTTTCTTTTTCAGGCAAGCAAGAAAGAAGCTGTTTGTACTGCATGTCCTACCTATAGCTGCTACAGCTGTATGAAAGTTTCATTCTTGCTGATTCCTGGAGCTTCAATATTGGCAGTGGAAAGATAAGGTCTTGGTCTCAAAATCTGCATTTCACATCAAAAAGAACTGAGGTGTCCACGAAAACGTGTTAATCCTTGGGAGCTGGAGAGCAGAAAACCAAACGGCTGTTATTTCATGACAAGAACCACTCTGGATGCAGGTGTGTAGGCCAACAGGAATCTGAACCACTCATATTAAATCATGCAGCCACATTATGTGGCTAAACACGTGTTCTTACACGTTCAGCTTCAGAGCAGTTCAGACACACAACAAAGCCCAAAGGGCAACGCACCTAATTATTGGATTACTTACGTTATTTCATTTTTAAGACAAGTGCCAAATTAACAGACTTTTCCCACAGCAGGAAGAAGGTTTAGCTTGGAAGCATTTACTTTATATATAGAGAATGCAAGTAAGCTATTCATTTAAAGAAGTAGAGAAGGAAAAAAACAGGTAGGGACACAAAAGAAAAAAAAACACTCAGACTTCTTCAAATTATTTGTTCTCTTAAATATATTCTTTACAAAAAAGAGCCTCACGTTTAACTCCTTGCAAGTTCCCTTCCCTGAAAGTTAAAAAAGGAAGAAAAATAAAAAAAGGTTTGTAAAGCAGCAATGCTTTGAGAAGAAAGCAAGCTGTTATCACATCAGAAATCACACTGCTAAAATCAAGGTATTTATACCTTAAACAAGACACTGGGTAACCTGAAAAAGCACCACTCTTCTGTTTTCTCCACTGAAACAGAGGGAGACACCAGCCCACACCATTCAAACACATCAAAACTCCTTGCGAAGAACTGGATTTTACATTATACCAAAATAACCTCACTGCTCCTCCGTCTGCCCAGGAAAACTGCCAGGCATTAAAACAAAGAAACATGTACTCTCTTTGTAGTTAACCAAGAGATTCAAAATTTGTTTTTCAGCTGAGATACAACAACATCTGGTTTGAAGAAACCCCACTTCAAGAGAAGACGATGCCCTTTCAGAAACAGAATATTTCTAACGAGTCTGCTTCTTCCAGAACTCCTCCAAAAGGCAAACCTCACAAGCAACTCTCAAATATCTTCAGGAATATATCCACTATTTCCAGCTATTTTCCTTGGATTTTAAAAACCGTGCTTTTTTGTGAGCAATCTGACATCTGCGGCCAGTTATACAGCAGTGGCTCATTTCACCCAGTACTTTTGCAAGCTAAAACTGCAATAAAAACCCCAGCAGCTCTGTTTTTAAAAAGGTTTTTCCCCTCCATACGTTCACCGAAGTCAGATCCAGTGCTAACGTGGCATTGTTTAGGATGACCACACACTTCAGCTATTTACAAGGAACAAGAGGTAAAAGGCATTTGAGTACATTTTGGGGGGAAGGATTTCCAATTTTCTACTGAGCTAAAGGCTTTTTAAGTAGTGCTTCAACATCAAATTACATTTTCATGGTTTATTAGCTTTTTACTACCCACTTAGCTTAGACAGGGAAGGAAAACTGGTTTGTAGCACAGAGTTTATAGCTAGTTTCATACACTGCTATTATCTTCACGTGTCATTCATCACCTTCATATCTAAGTATCTTCTCCATCCGAGATCACTGAAGAAATGTCAAGATCTTCTCCTCCTTTTCCTCCACTGCTTTAAAGTCCTCATCCAGTTTGCTTCAGGAACAGTTTTTCACAGCCACAGTGCAGCTGAAGCTGCAAACAAATCGGTCGAAACAGAAACATTACACTTTGCTAAAGGATAAAAGCATCCAGATTCCACTGGCAGCGAGCGAAAGCCCTTTTCTGTGAGTTTTCAATACCACGTTATTTGCAGTCTTGAAATCAAAGCTGGGTTGCATTTAGTGGTGCACTCAGATTCCTGGCACCTTAGAGAAATTTTTACATTCACACAATAATACTTCTCTGATGTGCTTTCAGCTTGTGAAAGCATTTTTATGGATTAAAGGGCTTTTTAAAGAAGACTTCAATCTAGTATCACTTGACAGAGATCTTCTAATGTGATGTTAAAATACTTGTTATACAAATTTAAGCATTAGGGACTAAAGTTCATAAAATTGTTATAATTTTATTCAGAACAGCCCTTTCTTCCTGTATTACTGCTCAGATGAAGCCACATGCCCAGCTAGCTTTGCCTCTGCCTCACAATGGCTGAAGTAAAGCTTTACTGACATCAGGCATTAATACGATGCAGATCCTAAAATATACATGTGCATTACTTCCAATCTACTGCGTGCAAGACTGTGCTTTTTAATGCCACAATAGCCCAATAAATCCTTCAGTATTTGCTTAAAAGGTTTTTATGGTCCTCTTGTTTCGTGAAGGCATTTATATGAGCTCTGATCTTAGGACATGTGCATCATCACCCATTAATTTGTGAAAATTAAATAGAAGTAAACAAAAATAGCTCCATAACCTTCTTGCCCATATGCCTATTAAACTCTGCTGTATTTGTTGTCCAATAGCTAGAGATGGAACAGAAACACAGCCAGCCCAACCACACCCTGTCCCAGCACTGCTACAGACATTCCAGCAGGAAAACGCTGAGGAAAGATTGTGGAGTTCTGGGAAAAGATCCATTTTAGCCATTAATGCTTATTAACACATTTTCTAAGGTCTATAAAGCTTTTAAAGATTATTAGGGGTGGAGGAAACTATAGATATGTTATGATCCCACAAGATCTCTCTAAACAAAAGCAAAACGTATGTTGCTAAGAACCTGCATGAAGCTGTTCTTTCGGTTTGTTTTTTTCTGCCCGGTTATCTTAGCTTTCCTTCTACGTCCCTCTTGTGGCAGCCGAGCAGAACTGTAACATCTGCAATGGAACGGCGAATTCATAGCCTTCAAGGATCTGTGCTTTGCTGCTGCGTTTCTGGTGCATTTTTAAAAAACAAAAGATTGATAACCTAAGTAAAACTGCACGGGATTTTCATCTGAAGACCTAGAAAAGAGGAGAGCAAAAGGAAAAAGCAGACAGAAAATTAAGAACCTTTAAAACAATGCAAGTTACTGAACATTAAACAGAAAATGATGTTAAAAAGCAGATGTGTGGAAATAACAGAGCAGGCACGAAGACAAAGTGATTAAATAGGCATAATAAATTAATGGGTTGTATTTCTCATTTTATAACATGTTAACATATTGCACAACCATGGTACTTATTATAGAGACAATATCATCACACGTTAATGTGCAAGCACTCCTGAAGTGCCGTGCCAAGAAAATCTGATTTCAACTTCATGTTTATTTTCCCCTAATCTGAACTGTTGTCTCCCAGGATAAAAATACACGGTTTCTTTAGCCGGCTCTGCCATCTGAAATAGCAGTTTGGCAGATCCCTCACGCTCCATTCGATTGGCTTTCAACCCTTCACGTCATCATGACACTTTCTAACTCTATCTCCATGGCTCGGAGCTTGCAGAGACCAATCAGTTCGTTCCTTTTCATCACAGCTTGATTTCAGACTTCTCTTGTGCAGTCCTGGATGGAGGATGTTATCAAATCCCAGCGATAGCGTGTGCTGGAATGGAAATTAATCTCAAGGAGAATTTTCAGGCACAGCCAACTATTTTGAGTCACGAATGCATTATTTCTATCAACAGCTAAACTGCTGCATGCTTCCGTTTTACGCTTACATCATCAGGAACCTTTATTATCACCTCTTCAAGATAACCACCTTAAACTTCCAATCTCATGCAAGCAAGCAGAAAGAATCTTTCTAACAAACTGAATTCACTCACATTAGTTCTCTTGAACAGCTTCTTATGGCTAAGCACGTCCTGTGAATTCTAGATTCTAATCATGCATAAAAATGGTGAAGCACCATCATTCTCAGACAACGTGCTCCTGTTTTTAGAGTGTTACCCTTTTGAATTTCATATTGGATGCACAACAATAAAGACCAACGAGTCCAAGTGGCACCTCTTTGCATTAGCCCAGATTTAAAGGCAAAACTTTCACAAAATAATGCTTACACAAATAGAATATCATCCAGGAAGCATTGCAGTGTAGACTGCACACGTGCTCATCTTCAAATATACCAAAGTCTTTCAAAGAATTTCCAGAATGCAGTGGCCTACCATTAAGCATTAATGTCATAAAATTCACATGTATCTTTCTCGCAAGCCACACCTCTGTGCTGGTCTAAAGACTGATTACAGTCTCCCTATTTTAACCAAGAGCCCAATGGTCACAACTGATTGCCACTTAAACCCCTCATCAAACACATCCACATGAACTACAGTCTTCCCACACTCAAATCACAGTGGGTGTAGTTTTGACTTGTGTAGCAGGGGCACCAGGCACACCGTAGGTACATGGGGATCTCCAGGACCCCCTGGCAGCCCTCTGGCTTCAGCACCTCAGACAGCAGCACGATCCTCAGCGCAGCAGAAGCCAAAACAACCTTCTGATAGCACAGGGACAACGGGGTCTGCAGTCTTCAATGAGTTTTCTTTCTCTTTAAAAGCATTCTTATTTTCTGTCTTACGTAGGGGGAGGGAAAAAAAATACGGTAGCGCATCAAAGCTTTGCTTTCCAAACCTCCTGATGATTCTGTAAACTGGACAAACGTTGCAAGAGCGGTCTGCTTATTCATAAATATGTGTCCATACAAAACAACCTACCTGGTTTTATAAATGCAATCTTCAAAATAGATCTCATTTCCTTCCTGTTTTTTTTGCAGTTATGCTTCCCTCTGAATTACAAAACAAATAATTTCCAGATGGTTTTTAGGAAGTATCAATTCACCTGTGGACGCTTTCCAGTCAGACTACAAGTGGGTTTAATGTAGCTGTGATTCAACTTGAAGAATCAAAAGTCTCAACATAATGTATGAAATTACATATGAGTGTATGCTGACTTACCTTGATGTCACCACGTTAAACTGTAGCTAACACGGCAGTCATAACCTCACAACCAAATTTCCATTCTATCTATTGTTTTGCTTAATTAGCCTACTTTAAATTAAGCTACATCTACGATAACCTACTGGTAAGTCTGCCCCTTCATAGCTTAAAGCTCAACACAAACACAAACCATGAGTAGATGCAGTGACTCCTGGATTCTCTCTCCATCTTCATTTCCCCCTCCTGTTCTTGGTGCATTGAGATCCTTTCCAATCTTCATTTAAACCTTTTCAGCTTAAAAGCTGCAAATGCGGCAGACGTTTCCGTTCTAAGCTTTACCCTACACCAAAAGCAAGAATAAAATTGAAGTTACTTAAAAAGCCAATATTCGTGTGCATGTTATGGCTGAAGGCTTCAGTGGGGAAAACAGAACCAGCACCAGCTTTTCCTGCCAGTGCTTCTCACAACGCCTGGGAGTTACCTCAAAAGAGATGAGTTTGGTGATGATTGAAGCATGCTGAGATGAGGGCTGCCAACCCCCAAACCACCTTTATTTACAGACTGAATGCCCACCCCCACACAACACACAGAACCTCCACAGGCCGCCCAACTCCCCCTATGACAGTTCAGCCCTCCATTACCAGTCACACAGAGCAGTGCAGCTATGATGGGTTTTACAGCTGGCATTACTGTGACACCAGAGCCTTCTTATCACCCGCCTCAGAACGCTGCAGGCCCCGGCTATGCCTCCATCACCACAGACACCGCACTTCCACTGAGGCGGGCAGACTGCAGGAGCACCAGTAAGGGCAAGAAGGGCTCCACACAGCCCCGCTCCCCTCACAAACACCCCCACCCCTCCACCGCGCGCCGCCACTGGCCCTTCTGCCGCCACAGCCCGCCCTTCCTCCTCAGCTCGAGGGCTCATTGGCTGTGGCAGCAGTCAATCAGCGATCAGGCTCCGCCCCCCTCGCGAGAGAGCCCTGTCGGGGAGGGGGGCGTTTAACCCCTCCTTTAGGCGCGAACGGACAGCGCCCCCAACGCGTCCCCAGTTCTCCCCCCCCTCCGCTCTTCAGGCGGTTCGCGCCGCGCGCTCCTTCGCGCCTTCCGCGCGCAGCCCCGCCCCCTCCCGCCGTGCCCTCCCAGGTGTGCGTGCTGCGTCACCCGCCCACGCGCACGGGCCGTGCTGGCGTCCGCCGTGCGCTCCGCGTCACCGCTGCTGGCCTGGCGCGCGGCGGCCGGACGGTTCCTCTCGCGGCGTCTCGGGGCTCTCGGTTCCGTTCCCCGGCTCCGGCTCCTTCCGCCGTCGGTCCGGCCGCGTTCGGGGCCGCCCGAGCGGGGCAGCGGGGGTCTCTTCGGCGGTCGGTTCTCGGGGGCGCGGCCTGGTGTGCGCGGCGGATCCCGCCGCTAGCGTAGCGCGGCGCCCGGGCTCCGTGAGGCGCGGCCCGGCCGAGGCGGGGGGAGCGCGCGGAAGCGCCGCTTCTCTTCTCTACCGCCGCCGCCATGAGCGTGGAAGCGTACGGCCCCAGCTCGCAGACCCTCACCTTCCTGGACACAGAGGAGGCCGAGCTGCTCGGCGCCGACACGCAGGGCTCCGAGTTCGAGTTCACCGACTTCACCCTCCCCAGCCAGACCCAAACCCCGCCCGGAGCCGGGCAGGCGGGGCCCGGCCAGGCCCAAGGCGCTCCGGGAGCGGGGCAGGGCCCTGCAGGCCCCATCGAGGCCCAGGTGAGGCCGCCGCGGGGTGCCGGGGGGGGGGGCGGGGTGAGGCGGCGCCGCCACCGGGGGGAGCGCGGAAGGGGCGGGCGGGAGCGGGGCGAGAGGGGAAGCGCTGGGCCAGGGCGGCGGGGCCTGCGGGAGCGGGGCTGTCGCGATAGTCGCGATATCGCCGTGCTGTCCCGATAGTCGCGATACGGAGCGAGGAGCGCTGCCGGGGTGGAAGGATTTCGGTTTGTTTTCTTGTTGAAACGAACGCGCCTCCGCCTCCTCTTTGGTTGTGAGGAGTTGAGCGCTCTGAAAGCGGAGCTGGATTTCTTTCTGACAGAAAGCGGGTCCTTTCCGAGAGGGCCTCTTTCTCTTTGCGGGGTTGCCGGGCGGCTTTGTTTGGGGCTGTAGGGCAGTGACAGCCCGTAGTGCCTGCGGTTGGTGTGCGGAGGTCCTCGAGGCTGAGAAAGGGGAGAATTCTTAACGCCGCCCGATGAGGGCCGGGATTCCGCTTTAACACTTCGCAGAAGTGAAAGAAAAGAGGGAACTGGGCTGTGCAGCCAGAAACTAAGAAGTGTTATAAAAGGAAACGCTGCTTGTCCTTGTGTTGCTTCTTGACTGTCTATAGCAGGAGAAAAGAAGCCCGAAAGCCACACCTGAGAGGCTGTTTTGTGCTTTTTTAAAAGTTGGGCTGCTCTTGTATATCTTGGAATGTATTAAGTTCCATTATATCGTTATAAATTGTTAAGTAGTTCTGGTGTTAACAATTAAATGTTTGTAGATTGTCTGCGTTTCAGAACGCTGGAGGAATTGAAATGCTGTAGATAACAGCTCCTCATCCTGCACCAAAAGCAGTCAGAGGGGATTCGTTTTTTTTTTTTTTAACTTTATTTTCCAAGACTGATCTGTTGGGGTCTGTAAGTGACACAGAAATGAGTAAACTTAAAGCAGTGAGTGAATGGCAGCCTCAGGTGTGCAGGGCAGGTGGAATTGTGCTGCCTCAGTGCTGGGCCCAGGCCCAGGGCTGTGCTGGGACTCTCTCCAGTCAGTGTTCATAATGTGGATTTAGAGCTGAGCTCTTGTGGGCTGTTTGCTTTATTTTGTGTTTACTTGTAGCTCTTGAGTTCTGTTGGGCAAAACAAGCCTTTTTCCCGTTTGAATTGTTGCTTGTGTTTGTAGTTTGTAGTTAGTGTTTTTGTGTTTGTAGTTAGTGCGTGTGTTATTTGATTAAAAAGGTGTTTGGAGTAAAATCGTAGTTTTTAAAGCTCTGATGGTTGTGATCATTCTAGAACTCTCAGTAAAGAGTTTGGATAGAAGAAGAAAAACCGCCCCAGAATGAGTCTGAGAGTGCAGAAGGCAAGGGAAGAGGATTCGTTTTGCTTTTTGTCTAAACATGTTTGAAAAGCCTTTGAAGTAAGAAGGGAAAAAGGAAAATCTGGAGAGCACATCCAGGTATGAGCGTGTCTGTAAGCATCCGTCCTGGCAGGCAGGAAGCAGAGGATGTTTGTAATGGCTGAGTGCTTTTATTTCAGTGCAGGGTTTTGCAGTTGTCCCCATGCTGTGTAAATTTGGGGTAGGGGAGGCTGTTGTTCCAGTGGGGATTTGGGAGCACGGTGATGTCGGAGCTCAGCGAAACCCAGCGCCTGTGCTCTGTTTGGAGCTCTGCCTTTCAGCGTTCTCATCAGCGCTGAGATCAGAAAGGGGCCGGCTGAAGGATTCTCAGGGAGGTTCTGCCTCCTCGGGTAGATAATGTGAGCTCGTTAATGCCTTTTGGCAGGAGCGTATCTAAATCTAAATCTCCCAGGCTGCATACGATTTTGCCTAGTTTGACTGTGATTGTGAACAAAGTTGGAATAAGTATTATTTCATCCTGATAAACATGGAAGGGATATTATTTTTTACTCCTGTTCCATTTTCTGATACCTTTTTAGTGCCCTGTGGATTGAAATGAAACTCATTGAAAGATGAGTTGGGCAGTGCAGAGCCCCTCGTTTCTTTAGAAAGCATTCTTTGAGCCTTGCTCTGAAAGCTTTGTTTCTCAGCATATACTTAACTAACAGTTTAAGAGGATGCTGTTACCACGGATTAGTGTCTGAGTGACAAAAGGCAGGCAGAGGTTAAGCAATGCAGGAGCAACGCCTCCTGTTTTCTGTAAACAGTGGAAATACAGTTTTCTGATGATTAGACAAACTAATTAGCATATTTGATTTGCAATAAGATAAATTCTGATCATATCCACACTGTTTCCCTGCTCCCTCGGGCCAGGACTCGGTTCTGGTGGGAGGAGGCAGCATGTTTCTCTGTGCCTGGTGCTGGGAGCCCGCTTGGTGGTGCCCTGAGTGTGGGCATGGCGAGCCCTGCTGCTGGCTTGGGGTTTCCTGCAGTCCCCAGCCTCGGTGTTAGCAAATGCTGCTCGGACCCCCGTTGTGAAACAGCTCTGTGCTGCCGTGAGGCTGAATGCTCTCAGCAATGCACCTTCCCTCGTTCTGAAAGGGAGATCAAATAAGCACAACAGATTTTACGGCGCCGCGAATGTCACACGGTGTCAGTGGAGTCTCTCCCAACAACAAATAGTTGTGCAAATCCACAAGTGTGTGTTTTTCTAAAGCGTGAGAAAAACTTCCCTGTGCCAGGGCGGCATGCCTGGCCGTGCCGTGTGTGCTGCACAGTGCTGGGGTGCAGTGCCACAGCTGAGCGCTGTCTGGTAGCAAGATCCCAGCAGAATCCTTGCCTAGCTGTTGTCGTTTCTCTTGCTGCAGCCTGACACGTACTGCTTTAAAGTGCAGCTGTGCTGATGGCTGTTGCCTGTTGATGAGCTGCTGTGTGGGTGGGCACATCAGCCAGAAGAATGGCGAGGAAGCTGCTGTCACCCAGCTGGGGCTCCGCACGGTCACTGCTTGCTGCGGTGTTAATTGGGTCAGCTGCCGTGCTGGAGTGCGGCTCAGCTCCCCCAAGCACTGCTGCTGTGTGCAGCAGGACCGTGGAGACCTGTGAGGAGCAGGGGAGGAACCAGCAGCTCTCAGAGCCGTGCAGGTTGCTTGGCGTGGCTGCTAAACTTGCTGTGCCAGAAGTTTCAGTCAACACATTTAAAATAGAGAATCCCCCCCCAAATCTTACACAACAGCTGGTGCTGCCAGATTTTAATAACGCGCACGCAGGCTGACATGGCAGCAAGTTGAGAACAATAGTTGGGCCACTTCCTTCCTGTGTGCCTGCTGAGGCACGGCCCGGCTGCTGGGTCCTGCTGCTGACAGATGGGTGCCGTCGTGCTGACATCACTGCGCGCCCGAGTGCTGTGCTGATGTAGGACGAGAGATCTGTGTGTGCTGCCATTCCTTCTGCTCTCCTGCCTTAAAAAAAAAAAAAAGGGCTCTGCAATTGCACTGGCTGCTTGCTCGACAGCCCTGAATGATATGCAAGCTTCCAAAAAAATGGATGGTGCTTGTCAGCTAACGTCAGTAATGGCATGTGAGGCCTCTTGAGAGCAGGCTGACAGCACCTGCCCTGGGAGTGTCCTCTCCACACTTCTAAGAAGTTTGGGTTAACTTGTTCCATTAGTCTCCACCTATTCTAAGATCAATTAATAAGCTATGTTCATATTTTCTTTAATATCACTGTATTTAAAGTTGATGTTTGCATTAGAGCAGCTCTGAAGATGCTATTAAATGTTGAGCTGCTGCAGCTCCTGCCGTGACAGTCGGTCTGCAGAGCTGTGGTTGCTGTGGCCGAATGGAACTGGAAGCCAAGGAGTCCCAAGGGACAATGGCTGCTTGAGTTATGCTGAAGTCTGATTTGTGACATTCACACCTGTTGGTGCTCCTTCCTGGTGGTAAAAGCACTGTGCTAAGTATTGCCAAAATGGAGTTATTTTTAACAGGACCAGGGCTTGATGTGTCAAATGTGCTGACGCGGAACTTTGTGGTTCTGGCAGGTAGCAAAGTCAGTGCAAAGAGGGAGCACCTGCTGTGTGTGTGCTGCCTTAGCCAGGCAGCCTGTGAAAGGCACTGCTCTGAGAGCTTGGGCTGTGTTAGTTTGAATGGAGTTTGTGTGTTTCCTGGGTAACTTAAAGAAGCCTCTTTGTTTTGAAGGAAATAGTGTGGTGGCTAAAGCAATGTTTGGGTAATGCAGTGGTGGTTGTCACACCTGGTGCATTACACAGGTATGTGTTTGGTTGCATGCAGTGCAGGTGGTATGCCTTGCACAAATGATGCTGCTTGGGGAGCTGGGCAGTCTGCTGAGAACCAGCTTCTGTTATTTCTGGCTCTGGCTTTTCCTTAGGTGTGCATTGGAGTAGGTCTTGGTCCCCTGCTTCCTGTTGTCATGTTGTGAAGTTGTGCTTCTGGTTTGGTGGATA